TTCATTTAATGAAGAGATGAGTTACTTTAATCAGAGATGATGGACTTCCACACACCATACCTGATAATTGTCAGTCAGTCTGTTTAATTTCTTTAAAAGTTACATTTTTTCTCCTGATAATATTGCTTTTGCTCTAAATGCAGCTATATTACACGCTCAGACAGTGAGTTTATTAGTTTTTAAAATGTAAGAACTATTTTTTCTCCCAGACAGTATTTTTAATGATTTCATTCTGAAAGCTGTATCTTTATTGAGAGTTGTCTCAGTGAGTAAAAAAATGTCTACTCTTGATTTCTTATTGTTACAATAACTGAGAGATAAATGCAAGTAATTTAATGTCACATTTTGGAACTGTATCTAAAGATTTTAATATGAACTGTTCTTTGAAATGTTGTGTTCTTTTATTAATGTTGCGTTCTTTTATTAATGTTGCTTCATTTGAAATATTTGCTTAAATCTCAGAAGGATTTATGTGTTCTTTTGATTACTGAAAATCTAGTATTATTAAATTTGATCTTGCTTATTTTTCAAAGCATTGAGTACTAAAGAGGTGGCTTAGCATCTCCATGGGTCTGATGCCAGTGTGCATCATGCCTTTGAGCAGGCACAAAAACACATCCGTAGAAGGGCCAGGACAGAGCTGGATGTACAAGTTTGATGCACTCAATTGTCTATCCTGTAATGCTCTTCAGTATAGTTCCATCTACCAGTCAGCTGCAGGTTCCCTGGGTGAGAAAAGGGCATTGCATCCAAGAGAGGGTGCTGGGGAGCACATGCAGGCTCACCTTGTCAGAATTGTTGGTAGATCTGGAGCAGCCAAGGAGTCACAGAGCAGTTTTGTGTTTCGACATGTTTTCCTGAACAGTGTAACCACAGCTGAGGAGATCTAGGTGCCTAAATGGTGCTTATATGAGAATCCAGATCGGAGTCCCTCTTCCCCATTAGTTGTAAAGTGGGGAATTAGAGCGTTCTCTCCTTCTTGGGGCACTGGGAGATAAAGACATTTAGAACTGAATTAGCTTTTGTATTGCTGAAAATGTGTAAGAAACAAAAAGGAAACAAACTGTGGAAAGCCTGTTAATAACTAGTACATTTACAGTTGTAATTTTGTATGAGACTCAGAGGCCTTGGGATGTGGAATTTCTTTTTTCTTCTGATGTTCTTCTTGTTTTCTCTTTTTAAAACCATATATCGTACAACGTGTTTTTTCACTTGGTTTAGGGAGGGTTTTTTTCTCTTTTTGATAAGAGGACAAAAAGGTTGTCTTTGTTTTACTTAGCTTTATTTTAAATAATATTTTATTTTAAGAAGGTTATTTTACAGTGTTTACAGTGCACTTCAATTTTTTATGTCATGCCCTTCCAGCCCCTTGGTGGGATGAGAGGTGAATGTATGCATTATATAATTCATAATTAATTTATGATGAATCACATATGATGAATACTGCTTATTAAATATTAAACCCTTGCCTACAGTCATGGTGGTACTATGGCTGTAGCACACCTGTCTGTTCCGATGGTACTATTGAGCAATTGACCTAGGCTGTGATATCAGCACCCAGTTATAAGAGAAGTCTTAGCTACTTCCCTGGACAAATGGTGTTAAGGAGAATTGGCTCTCTTTCCAGAGTAGGTGCCTGTTACTGCCTTCTCCTTGCCCCTTCTGCACCACCAGTTGGAGGTATGATGAGACTACAATCTCTGGAAGGCATAGTTGAGAAGAGAGAAGGTACTGCTGGTAGCTCCTCAACACAATAGGGACTGTTATGAGTCCTGGTTCCTTCCTTCAGTGATAGAAAGCTGGACAGAGTTGAAGAATAGCCTAACAGAAGGTTAGCCTGGATCTGGACAAGTGGAAATCCAGGCTAGATTTTGACAATCCATTTTTATTAGTGAGGATTGGAATTCAGACAGGAGAACAATTTACCTGCAGAGATCATTCCAGCACCTGTAACTAGTCAGCTCCCAAATAAAGGCAGTAAAACAGAGGGCAAAACCAATGTAGGGGATTGCCTGCTACCAGTTTAGGGTAGTTGGTCCTAATGAAGGTATTTTTCCAAATTCATAGCAATAAATCTGTTAATCAGAAGTAGTAGAGAAATCAGATATAGATAGAGCTGTCCTGACTCCTCTGAAAACAAGGGAATCCACCCAGTCAACATTATAAGGCAGAAAAGGAAAAGTAGCCTTCTACCGGTGTTTTGTGCTCTGCTCTGCCTTCCTGGGAGCATTGACCTGTGTGTCTCACTGAATACAGCAAGAAAAAATGCTGTCACTGTGTGTGATGCAACAGAGCTTAACCCTGAAATCCTCACTTCACTCTATTTATTGCCAGCCCAGCAGGCAGATTTTCCCTTGTATTTTCTTGACTCAACTGGCTGTTATAGCAGGTAGACTAGAAGGCGCAGGAGAGATGTGAAAATTTCAGTCTGAGAATACGGCATGGATAATTTCATTTGGGATGCCATCTAAGACCCCATGAGTGCACGTGAAAGTGTGTGCTGTTTTCCTCAGATGCCTGCATCTCAGGGAAAGTAAATTAGAAGCAGCGGGTAGAGATTTGAGCACTGAAATAAAAAAAAAAGGATCATCTGTGGTGAGTAACTGTGTGAAATTAATGTAATCCTAAGTGATTCCAATTAGTACAATGCAAAAGGAAAGGAGTGTAATTAATTTTGGCTTGATGTATAACCAACTTGTACTACATAAAGATTGTGAGATCAAATATTGAAAAATCCTTAGGGTACAGATAGCAGAAATCAGTTGTTCTTTGGATAGCTGTACCATGGAAAAAAGAATACTAAAGCACAGGCATATTTCTTCAGAACTTATTATTTATTTTCTGAGAGCTCAAGCTATAGAAATTGAAATAAAATCTAATACTAGTCAATATTTGACTTTGGTTTTGTTTTTTTCACAAAGCTTTCATGGGACAATTTAATGATTTGACAGATTATCAGGAGCTTGTTTTAATATTAATTAAATAACACACAAAGACAGAATTCTCAGCCCTTAAAATTATATAAACAAAATTGATTTATAAGATTTGATCTTAATGGGGAGTGATATATTCATTGGTATTGAGCCTTTGATCTAATATCACTTTATACATACTGCTGTGATGAGAAGATTAAAAAAAAGGATCATAACAGTATGTGGAAATTACCAAAGGAAAAATTATGTTTAGTAACATAGTGGATTTTTTGTATAGAAGGAACCTGTACTGGGGAAACCCTATCTTTGGTCTTAGGGATGGCAGCAGCACTAGGATTGTTATGCATTTGAAAGAAACAGTTTTCACTGAGTCTCACATTTCTCTCTTTTCATTTAACTCAAATTTGTAAATTGCAGATAAAAAATTTAGTGACTGCATCTCTTTTTGCACATTATCAGGCAATTGTTAGAATCCTCACTGATTATTGTAGGTCAGTTTATTCTCATTATTAAATGACAGTGGTCATTAAAATGCCAAATATATTTTTACAGACTTGATCTTTATAAAATATCAGCAAGTTTTTATGATTTTATTAGTTCCAAATCAGATATTTCAATAGACCATTTGTAAGTAAAACATTCATTTCTTAGTTTTTGAGACCATACAAAAATATTTACAAATTAATCAGATTTTCAGATTTCTGTATAATAACTCTGCACATTTATTGTTTAATCCAATTCTAAAATTCTGTTATGATTGACGCCTTGCTGTAGAGAGAGAAGTCAATTGAATAATGTGTAGCAGTCAATTTTATTTGTACCTTAATGTGGTGAAGGTGGATTTTTTTTTCTCACATTTCCATTATTTATAAGTTGTTCCCCTTGGAGAATATATAAAAGAATTTGTTTTAAATGAGCTGATAATACCCTCTTTAAAATTTATAAGTATGACAGAATCATATCCTTTTTCCTTACCACTCAAGGATGTGCCAAGAAACTGATTCTGAATTCTCCCGCTATTCATAGGACAAACATTGGAAAAGAGCATCTTTTTAAGGTTTACTTAGAAAGGAATTTCAACCACTCATCAGAAAAAAAAATAACAGAACAGGAGGTATCGTACCAACCAGCAAACCTGGTGCTATTGCCAGGATTTTATTTACAAGAGACCACAGTACTCTTGCAGCTACGTTTGATACTTGCTGTCATTCTTATAACTTCAAAGATCAGTGTGGGCCTGATCATGCCATCAGCGCTGACAAACTGTGTGAATCAGTGCAAGCCCTTCACTCAGTGAATGTGGAGGATTGGGATGTAGTTTTGAAAACATCTTGGTACTTTCTTACAACTGATAAGATGTTTTTATTTCTCTTCTTCCCTTTCAAATTGATATTGCAGACTTCAGCAAAATCCAGTAGGGCTGGACTGTGTTTTGTGTTTAGCAAGCCATTAGAGCCCAGCGTATAGTTCAATTGTTGGATATTGATCACCTCAATAAATGCTGGAAATTCCTTGGTTTCACAGAGTTTTGCTCAACCTCCACATGCAATTTAAAAAACAAGATGTTATTTGGAAGCATACCAGTTTTCAGTTTTCATAGTGCCTTTTTATTCCGCATAGTAGAGCCTTTGCTGCCTCAGTAACTGACAAAAGAAAATGCTTTATTAAGATAGAAAGTAGATGTGACTTCATTGTTTTTCAGATAATTTTTGCTTTCAGAAATTACAATGGCTGATGTTCACCTAAGCATAAAAAAATGCAGTTCCCACATGCGCGGAGTGCTCATGTACACTATGTAAATTGACGTATAATGCAACCCACATTAACTGGATTGATGATATCTTCAGTTTCACTGCTGTCAAATTTCTGTAACTCCTTGAATGAGTTGACTGGTCTGAATGAATGTTAGCATAATTTATGCAGCTGATAAGTGATTTGAGTGCTTGAGTTATTGATAAAGCACTTTAACATATAATTTTTGGCATCATGTTATGTGACATCAGAGTAGGAGGTAATGTGGCAGTCCCTAGACTTGATATTAAAGTCACTTTGCTCTTTGGATTTCAGAGGCCAGAGGAAACACAGTGCTGCCTGACACAAGCCCAGCAGACCAGCACCAACCCAGTCAGTCCCATCCTGCATTCCCTATTGGGCCTCAGGTCAGTATCTTTCCTTTCAACTAATTGAAATGTACAGTTTTATAAAAAATAAATAACCATGATTGATCATCTTTGATCTGTGTAATGTAGAAGACATGATTCTCTTTGGCTGCATTCAATGTTACAGAAAGGGAGCACATATGTCTTATGTATGGTTTAGAAGTCATGTTTGGCAAGATTAGTTTTCTGTATGTTTTTCTAAATTAAAACCTAAGCAGTTTTGCATATTTAGGAGGTTAAATTATTTGAATTTCTTATGTAAATTACTTTTGAAGCAAGTGTAAAAACTTAATATTAAAAATCTTGTACAATTTTAATACGACACCGTTGGCTCTGACGATTCTACCTGTCACACAGAGCTCTTGCATTAGTAAGACATTTCATTATCTTTTCTGCCAGGTATTTATTTTCTGTTGAGCACAGTGTAGGCACTTAATGAGATTTTTAAATATTTTCCATTGCACTTCACAATTTTATCCAAGTCCAGCCATACTCTAAAAAGATACTCGATATTCTTCCACTTTCCAGGACAGTCTTGGTCCACAAAGTTTCTGATAGTTGTTACTATAGTGTTTTCTGTTGTTACCAATCAGTATACAACTGGGAAGATTTGGGAAATGTTGGTATTTAGGTACTTGTAGGCTGACTTGAGTTAGACCTTGTTTCATTCATAAATTATCTTTGGTGAATGTGTAATGAATTTTCCAGTCTAAATTCGGCTGGGATTGCTACCATGCGACATGATTGGAGCTTGCAGTTTCAGACTGTCAAAACTTTCTGTGTTGGTGAAAATGTGTGCTTTAAGATATTGGAAGCAGTGCATATCTGTAATGGAACATGAAGGATCCCAAGCCAGAAGAGTTATAAGCATGTAATACTGAGCTATACACAGTACAATAGCTTTGTGTTTGTGGTTTCTTACAGCAGCTACTGACAGCCCAACAGTTAGCCTCAGCAGTAGCGGGGGTGATGCCAGGAGGCACTCCAGCCCTTAATCAGCCAATCCTCATTCCTTTCAACATGGCTGGGCAGCTGGGGGGCCAACAAGGACTTGTCCTAACTCTACCTACAGCGAATCTTACCAACATCCAAGGACTGGTAGCAGCAGCTGCAGCAGGAGGCATCATGACTTTGCCATTGCAAAATCTACAAGGTAAGTCATGCTGGTCATTTTTCTAATAGGTTCTTTCACCTGTTATTTTAAATCATCTCTCCTTTAAAACAAGTGATCTCTTTTCCAAATTAAATGTTGCTATCCATGCATATTGAAAGTTAGTACCTGGATTATTTTTGAATGCTTGAGATACTTAAGGGATATTTACATTTTTTAAAAACATATTGGAGGTGGATCCATTCTATGGGTCAGTGATGTAAACCACTTGAATGATTCATTAGGCTTTTTCTGTCATCAGTGATCAATGTTCTCTGATCACAGCTCACTTTAAAATTTGAAATCATAGAATCATAAAATCGCAAAATGCTAATGGGTTGGAATGAACCTTAAAGATCCTGTACTCTCAAACACCCCTGCCATGGGCAGGGACACCTCCCACTAGACCAGGTTGCTCAAGGCATTATCCAACCTGGCCTTGAACACTGCTAGGGTTGGGGCTTCCATGGTCTCCTTGGCCAACTGTTCCAGTGTCTCACCATCCTCACAGTGAAAAATTTCTTCCTAATATCCAGTCTTTCAATTTGTACCCATTACTCCTTGTCCTATCACTACAATTCCTGACAAACAGTCCCTTTCTGTCTTTTCTGTAAGCCCTCTTCAGACACTGGAAAGTTGCTACGAGGTCTCCATGCAACCTTCTCTTCTCCAGGCTGAACAGCCCCAACTTTCTCAGTCTACCTTCATAAGGGAGGTGCTCCAGCCCACTAATCATCTTCATGGCCCTCCTCTGGACTTGCTCCAACAGTTCCATAACATTCTTATGTTGGGGCCACCAGAACTGTACGCAGTACTCCAGGTGGAGTCTCACGAGAGCAGAGAAGGGGGAGAATCACCTCCCTCAACCTGCTGGCCACATTCCTTTTGATGCAGTCCAGGATTCCATTGGCTTTCTGGGCTGTGAGGGCACACTGCTGGCTCATATTCAGTTTTTCATCACCCATCACCCCACGTCGTACTCTGCAGGGCTGCTCTCAATCAATTCTCTGCCCAACCTGTAGGTGTGCCTGGGGTTGCCACAACCCAGGTGTAGGACCTCGCAATGTGCTCTGCCGAACTTCATGAGGTTTTCATTGGCCTACCTCTCAAGCCTATCAAGGTCCCTCTAGATCCCTTTCTTCCAGTGTATTGACTGCACCACACATCTTATTTCTCCACCGCTGATTAGAGCAGCTAAATGGAGGCAACTAAAAACACAGTATTGCATGAAAATAACTTAAAAACCCCCACAAACAACAAAAAAAGCCCCTTTTATAATAAGATCAGAGTTTTCTCAGCTATCACCCTTGTCCCAGATACATGTTTTCATTCTTGCTGTGGGAGGTCTGCTTTATCAATAAGGTTCTGCCAAGTAACAAGCAGAAAGTTAATGTCTGTATGCATCCTCCCCATTATCTGAGCTGTACCATATTTGCAACTGTTCTACCCTAAAAAATCTGCTGCATTTTCTCTGTGGTCTAAAATCAGACTGAAAGCAGTTCTATAAGATCTCTTTTCTTCTCTAGTATTCTCTGCTGTTAAATCAATGCGTCTAATGCTGTTAGTAACAGTACTCAATCTAAATATATATGATATAAAATACAGATAGTATTTATTTACTATTCCTAACTATGTTCGTGCTTCTCAGAACGCAGTTGCTGCTGTACAGAACTGAGCAAAACATAACAAGTTAGCCAACATCTTACAATAGAATTGTATTAATGAAAGAGGATAGTAAAGGCAGTGATTGTCCAGTGCAAAAGTGATAAAGGTGTGAGCAGGAAGTGTCAAAATAAAGCTTTAGCTCTTTAGATTTATTTATTTATCGTTATTTCTTTAAATGGTAGGAAAAGTTTTTCTCAAATGAAATGGTAATTTTTTTAAATTAATCCTCTGCACTGTGCCCTAAATTCTTTTTAGTTATCAAACTCTGGTGGCTGCTGATTACCAGGTATGTTGTTTGAAGCACCAGAGCCTACAGGTTGTGAAACAGAGAAAACGAAGAGACAGCTCATGTGTTAAACAAACTCCCTTACAAAGCACATGCATACTATTCTCACCTGTTGGAGCAACTACTTGCCTTTACCTTGTGCATGTTTTAAAGTTTAATGTCAACAGACCTCTCTTATCATAGTTGTAAATGGTTTTCACTTTAATGTTTAAAATAATGTCTCTCTCATACCATTAAGCTGCACCAAAGAACCTGTCATTCATAAATCATAGATGAAAAGGACACACTAATGCACAAATTTTGCTTGTTTAAAATTTGAGAGTGCATGTAAAGTAGGGAACTGGAGATTAAAAAAATAATGCAGGAACAGGAGCAAGTAAAAGCAGATAGAACAAAGTGAAGGGGAAGTAGCTTTTTAGTGTAGGTGGATGATGAAATCTTAATGAAGAAACAGGCATTATAAAAACGTATCCTTCCACTCTGAAGTGCTCCAGGTTACAGTTGCTGGGTATGTTGTATTATAAATAAACATAAGTTTGTGCAGTTCTTATGTCATTTATTCACGCCGCATTGCAAAGCTGGAGAGTAGGGATTAAGCCAGGCAACCTTTGCTCTTTAGTTTAGCCACAGATGTCTAATTGCTGAATAAAAGAGTTAACTCTGCTGCCAAATAAATTTTGCAAGCAATGACCTTATACCAGATGAAAAAGTTCCCTTATAATCTTTACTAGTAGACAGGAGCATGGGATCAAATAGGGACTTGCTGAAGCAACAGGTACAGTTCCCTGTCTATGAACACAATCATACCTTCCATAAAATATCTGAAAGGAACAGAACTCATTAATTTATTTAGTTGTGTTGCTGTTTGTTGTGTTCTCTACCCTTCCTTCCCTATCTTCTAAGCAAGTGCTACTGCCTGCCCTCAGTATTTGGAACTGAAACTGATACACAAGACAGCAAAATAACTTGGTCAAGATAGTTCTTAACTGCCCTGAATCACAGTTGTAAACTGCTGTTGCTTCCTCTATAGCCCACTACCCAATGTGTGCATGAATGAAGGTAGGAATCAGGTGAGAGTGTTGTGTAGTATCATCAGTTCCATTGAACCTCATTGACTTCCGGTGCCTGTTTTTCGTGGTTGGTTGAAAGATAATCATAGAATGTGTGTTCTCTTTTGTAGCCAGCACTTTTATAGATATACTCATAAAAGCCCATGCTTCAACACAGTTTTGGTAATTCCTGCCCTTTGGGTGAAATCAGATCATAATCATCAGCTTCCATCTCTTAAACCTCACCGTGGCACGGTCAGCTTTGATGACTGGGGGACGTGTTTTCACGATTTTTTCGAGCCTGTCTTATTACTCCTGTTGTCTCATCTACTGTCCCTGAATTTTCAGTGAAGTCAAGCATAAATGTCCACAGCTCCTGTGAGCTGGGTGTCCACAGCTTCTGTGAGCTGGGTCTTCTCTTATCTTTCTTTTCTCATAAGTAAACTTCTAAAGTTCTTCATCACAAACTACCCCTGTTAGGTAACTCAAAAGACACCCTGAAAACTTCTTGAATAATGTATGAATTCAGAAAAGTTCCAGTCTAACACAGTACTTGAATTCACACTGAATGTTGATCATGGGAGTAATTCCACTACATTTTCTGTGATCCACATACATGTTTCACTGATTTTCTTCTCATGAACCTTCAGGTCTGGTTCAGGGTAATAAGACCTCAGGGCTACTGGATAAAACAATAAACATCCTCGCTTGTGGAAAGACAAAATAACACTCAGTGATAGGAATCATAGAGGAGATATGTTAAGTATTTAAAAAAAGAAAACAAAAGTGTCTTTTAAAAGTTAAGACATTGGTAAAATGGAGCAATTAATGACATGGAAATTACTCACACAGTATAACTTAGTGAAATTGCCTATTCTTCACTTGTCAGTTACCTATAAATTAGATTTTTTTTTCCCAAAGGTATTTTGTCTTAAATTGTTCAGTTGCTATATGGTCCTGAGCCACCACTAAGTTGATAGGAATTTCATTGCTGTAAGTGAAAAGAGGTTTAGACCAAACCAAACCTCTTTCAAAACTTCTTTTCTTCATACATACTTGATTATTTTCGGTGCATTACACTGTGTCATTTGCCATACACACTGCTATACTGTATCTGGTCCCTGAGCAAATACATCAAATGTGTGTAAACAAAGTAAGGAAGGTGAATGTGTACATTCTTGCTGTAAAACTTAGAAAAATGTGTTTTCCCTGGCTTCAGGTAAGAAAATTTCATATGCACAATGAATATGCAAAGAATAAAATTTACTGTGATGAAAGAGGGTTGGTGGCAGAATAGAACTATCTGCCTTAGTGAAAACAGAAATCCCTGAACGTAACACAGATTTACCTATGGAATTTTGGCTTTCCACCAACAGTTCTTTAAAGAAAACCGTAAAATCAGCTACCGTAACTTTTTATTGTAATCCACTAAAAGCACTGAAGATAAAAGTTTAAAAGCCATCCATGAAAGCTGTTGTCCTGAGAAATTTACACACCTGTTTTCCCCTCACACTTTCTTAGAATTACGGCTGGAGCACACCCACGCTTACCTAAGATTTTGGAGGTGTCACAATAAAAATGGTGAGGTTGTGAGAAGGGAAAAAGTGAGGCAAGTACCCCACAAGACAGCATGTTTTCTGTCTTTTGCTCTTAGTCCATTGCTTCTTGGCCTGTCTTTATTGACTTAATGCAGAAAATAGTCTGCCGGCTTTTCTCTTAAACATCCAAACTTGAAGTCATCACTATTCATCTTATTGTCTTCAGGAAACTTTTCTGTGGGCTGAACAGTTTTAGGTTCTACATCTCTTTTGCCATGTCAGATTTCTCTGGATTTTGGGAGGAGTGTGTTCTATTTTTTAATTTTAGTTATCCTTCTCAAGAGTCTCTCCAAGGGACAAGTAGTTGCTTAATCTGAGAGTATTCAGTAATGCCTGGGAGCTGATATTCATGAAAAGACATTCTCTCCTTAAGCCCATCTGATTTTTATGTCTCAATGTAATATT